CGGGCACCTCGCTCTTCTAGCTGGTCCAACTTTACGAGTCGTTTTCCGCAATTGCAGTCATACAAACCAAACAAGCCGGCCTCCTGTCTGCGGCACTGTCTGCGGTTAGCTACAATTTGTGAGAGGTGCAGCAGAGTGTCTGCGGAGGGGGCGACGACGTCTTTGTGTTCACTGCAACACCTACGCAGACGACCTAGTTTTGAAGTATAAATCAGCCTTTACAGTCATTAAAAATGGTGTAACCACTATATACTCCCCTATATTGTGATTCTTTTGGCTGAGAGCACACCTTAATGGTAAAAAAATAACATTAGGTTTGTAGGATAAAAGGCCATAAAAGGGCTTCCCTTGATCTCAAATGACTTCTCTTGATCTAACTGGCGTAGTTCATTAGCACGGCTTTTGAAAGAATAATTTTTTTGCAGTATTGTGTCTAGCAGCAGAGTGAAATAAGAACTATCTGAGATACCTTGTTTATTGCCATTAGAAAGATACCTGAAGCACACCCAAATCTTTATTAGTTGGGCAGTTGTTTTCTAACAAACCCTTCTTTTGTCTCCAAGACTCCAGGATGTTCCAGCTGCTCCCGGGTCACATCCAGCCAACTGGACACCGAACCCGAAAAAGCCGCCTGGTCACCAAAGACGGGCACTGCAACATCGAGTTTGGCAACATCGAGTACAGTAACCATTTTGCCTTTGTGGTTGACTTCTGGACGACCTTCGTGGAGATCCGCTGGCGTTTCGTTCTCCTGCTGTTTGTTTCCACCTTTACAGGCAGCTGGTTTGTGTTTAGCCTGTTGTGGTACTGGATCGCAAAGAGCAACGGGGATCTGATCGCGCAGAACCGAACAGAGGGGCATGTGCGCTGTATAGACAATGTTAATGGCCTCACAACGGCGTTCCTGTACTCGCTGGAGACCCAAACCACCATTGGATATGGTGGCAGAGCGCTGACTGGGCACTGTGCTGGCACCGTGGCTCTGATAATCATCCAGTCTCTAGTCGGGGTCTTCATCAACTGCTTTATGTGTGGAATCATCCTGGCAAAGATCTCCTTACCCAAGAAAAGGGCAAAGACTGTCACCTTCAGCAACACGGCAGTTATATGTTTGAAGAAAGGAAGCCTAAGTCTCCTCATAAGAGTGGCCAACCTAAGGAAGACCTTACTGATCGGAAGCCAGGTTTATGGGAAACTGCTGAGGACAAACACCACACCAGACGGAGAGACCATCATCCTGGATCAGGTGGATGTTGACTTTATGGTTGACGCTGGCAAGGATAACCTATTTTTTTTCTGTCCTCTGACTCTGTACCACGTCATTAATAGATCCAGCCCATTCTACGAGCTTTCCGCTGATACTCTCCCCCTACAGGACTTTGAGTTAGTGGTGTTCTTAGAGGGGACGGCCGAGTCAACTAGCTCCTCCTGCCAGGTACGAACCTCATACATCCCACAGGAGATCCAGTGGGGCTACAATTTCCTTCCCATCATTTCCCGCACTAAAACAGGAAAGTATAGAGTTGATTTCTCAAACTTTTCAAAAAGCGTCCGGGTCACTACGCCGCACTGTGTTCACTGCTTTGACTCAGACGTAGACCAGAAAAACCACAACAACCACAACAAGGAGAACCACATCAATCAGCTTAAGTTGGGCATTGACAACCTGGGATTCCAGGTCATTAACATTCATGAACCTGTCGATGTTACGAAAATGTGAACTGGTCGTGTTCAATGGTAAAAGCTAAGGAATCAGGATCTGGGTCTTTCACCCTTAGTTAAACTATTTCAAGCATATTAAGTACCGAAGAAAAAAGAGAGGTTTTGAAGTTCTAAGGGTTGTAAAAGGGAGCGGCGAGCTGATTCATTTCAACGAGACCCCGACTGGGAGTTTTTATTGGGGATAAAAAAATTGAAGACACAGTTTTGATACGGTGAACATAGAAGCAGTTAAATGGTGAATGTCACAGCAGGCATGTCTGGAGAAAATTAGAGTCTGATTCTGTTCTAATGAAAAACCATGGGCTCTAAAGACTGACAGGAAATGTAGAAGACATAAAGCTCGTTATTCTTAGCTGTAAAGAATAATTTAGGTTTGGTCAAGTTCACGTTTGTAAGTAAAACTGTAATGCTGTAACCTCTCAGGGAGTTGAAGATCCTTAGCTGGAATAAATCTTGTTTTTTTCAACTATCTGTCTCATTGTTCATTATTTTCATGCTTTCAGAATTAAGAAATATTTGTATTTATATTTGCAGATGCAATCAATTTAAGTTTGAGACCTGAGATGCTTCTTTCTTCTGAAACATTCACGCTTTCTAGCAGGGGGGGGGTTTACCATTAGGCAATACTAGGCAGTTGCCTAGGGTCCCAAGTTCCTGGGGGCCCCATAAAACTTTGTTTACATGTTTAGTTAATAAAATATTCCTTATTTGTGCACATTATGTTTTTGATAAAAATCCCTTTGTTAAAATGCCATCAGAACACAGAACACACTCATATTAAGCGTGTCTCATGTAAAAAAAAACATTAATCTGTTTATTTTTCTGGATTGAGAAGAGAATATTATTTGAGATTTTAATACTTTATGTAAGAGGATCTCAAATAAAATGTTATCTATCCATTCAACTGAGTCTAACTTGCTGTTTTTACTCTTAAACTTACTTACAAAATATCAATAAGATTGTACTCTGTAATTACTTAAGTTCATTAAAACCTGGATCCATCTTGGCTATAATAATTGCAATTAATTTATTTTTCTGTTCTCTGATCTTTCCTGATATTGAGGACTTCTGCACCAACTGCCCTGACCACTAGAGAGCATCAGCCCACTTCTTTGGTTCACTCAGACCAATGAAGTATTTCCCACAATTACTTCATTGACTGTTTTTTTTTTTTTCCATCTGTCCCAGTTATGCCAAAAGCATCTCTTTCATTTGTGTCTCGGCTCAAAATAAATCTCCAGCCATTCAATCTTTGAAGCTCAAAGTGTGAGATAACTTAAGGGATGGTGGCGGGTAGAAAACAACATCAACTGGTTGTGCTCATCCTTCCTGATCCTGCCACCAGAACCACAACCAGAACACGTGTTCTCTGAGATGGAGCCAAGTTGCTCATTTAGGACCAGCTCCTACATGTTTTGTCAGCCAGGCTTCAGAAAAAGCTTTGATCCCATCTGGATTAGCGGGAGGCAAGTTAACTGGGCCTCATCTGCATAACAATGAGCAGAACTGTTGAGGCAGATTGGTACAGTGAGTTTGAAGCTGATGAAACGAACAAAGGTGGATTTAAGGAGCAGGAGGCCCCACTTCCAACTCAGTTAATTAAAGACTTTAAAAGCAATATAGTGATGTGGATGAGAGCTTCGACTGACAGCAAAGATGTTCCCCGTCTTTCTAGATCTGTACGGTCAACAATAGACGGTGTGTTATTCTGAAGGTTATAGTATCAACCTTTTATAGGGCAAATATCCTGCTACATGGCCGTACATCTTACTTTGGCATTTGACCAATTAGATGAGCCCTTGAATGATATATTACCTAAACTAAATCCAAAACTGAAGTTAACAAGTCAAGATAAAAAGCTAATTGAAAAGTTAAAAAGGTTATAAACCAAGCTAACAATTGTATTCAGGTTTAAAAACCAAAATTTTTAATAAAAATGTGTTTCAGAATATTTTTCATGAATTTCTTCTAGAAGCACTTTTGTTATTTTTCTTAACATATTCAGGCAAGTTGGCGTTTCTTGTTATTACATTGACATTCATTTTTTGTCGTCAGGATATCCTTATTTTTTGAATGTTACAAAGGTAATAAGGTTTTGTCCTGGATTCCAAAACTATTGGCTTGAAATTTTGATTTTCAAAGTATTTCACTGAGGACCCTATAAAGGTGGTTGAACGTTTACATAACCTTCCATTAAAGACAAAAAAGCTGCCAGTAAAATAAATTCCAACTGACAAAATAATAAATAAAAACGATGTGTTGCCCTGTAACTGACTGATGACCTCTCCAGGTGTATGAACTCCACCTCTTACCCATAACCTGCTGGAGATTGGCACCAGCCCCATCGCGACCCTTATGGAATAAGTGGGAGAAAATGGATGGATGGAAATAAAAATATTTACATACATAGGTATAAATTACTAAATAGAATAAATAAACAAGCCTAATGGGGCTCCTGAATACAATAATTGAGCAACACTTTCAGATGTTCATTCAGACTTCTGCACCACTTGACAGGTATGTTGGTTCACTGTTCATGAGCAAGGCACTTTAATTTGTCTGGGGCAGTTTACTTTTACAACATAAAAAAACATTTTCATTTATATCATTTAGTATTTTTTTTATTTTGTATTTTTTTCAGTTTTGTGTCTTTTGGATTACTAGTGTGAATTTATCATTTTCTTTAATGGGAGGGTATGTCAACTTTTAAGCCCAATCGTATCACACTACTGACATTTAGGTGTTTTTATGTTTATCCTTTGGATGTGTGTTTAAAACTAGGCATAAAATATTTAGGTCCTACAGTAAGCTCTTCATTTAACATCTATTCTTTGAAATATGGGGAGTAAGTGTTTGGAGTTTAGGACTTCTGGTGTGGATACAGGCAGTAGCATTCTGGATCAGCTGTCTGGTTAACTTTTGAAGCAGACCTGTAAATATACTGTTGCATTTATCTCTTCTATGAAAGACCAATGCATGGATGAGTTTTTTAAGATCAACCAGGACATAAAGTCTTTTGATATTGGAGCTTTACACAACATGAAAACCGAAGGGGTGGGTGGGTTGCTCAGACATATAGGCGGGTCTAACAGCGACATCCTGTCCATTGGCTCTTTGATGAAACTACATCTAAAACGAAAGTATTAAACTACCATGCTAGATATCGACTTGGCATTGATACTATTGATATTTTGGATAAATCCTCACATTATCTGGGTTAGCACTCACCGATCTAGACACTTATTTAACGTAATCTGCAGTAGGTTGAAAAACATTCCTTTTTGATAAAGCTTCTAGTTAGAGTGGCTCAGGTTATCCTGAGCTATCTCTATAGTTCTGCTGCTATAGGCTTAGACTGCTGGAGGACATAGGGACCCCTTTTTCATCATTCTGCTTCATTCTATCTCTATTCTCCCACTCTGCAGAATCTGTTAGTTCAATCTCTAACGTTCTGCTCTCTCTGCTTTTTCTCATAGTAGCTTCATCTGGTCTGTTCCTGTTTGGCTGTGACTCCATCCTGGAGAGAAATATCAGCTGTGCTGCTGCCATCAACACCTTTGTTTCTAGATGTTGGAGATCGGCCTGTTTTCCAGTGTAGTCCTGTTTCTCTGACTGTGACTAACTGGATGTGCTCTCTTCATCCTCTGGAATGGGAGCTGGCTCAGAGCTCGTCTGCCTGGCTGTGTGTTTCCTGGACGGGGCCGCCTTTTACAGCTCCCTTTTGTATCTATGCTTCTTTTTCTATGTCTGCTTCTGTCTCCTTGAACCCCAGTGGGCCTCAGCAGATGGCCACTCACACTGAGCCTGGTTCTGCTGGAGGTTTCTTCCTGTTCAAAGGGAGTTTTTCCTCTCCACTGTCGCTACAAGCATGCTTAGTGTGAGGGATTGCTGAAGAGTCAATGAGTCGATGCAATCAGCTGGTTTTCCTTAGAAAATTTTGAATCAATCTGACTGGATGATCTGGTTGAATTGTAAAGTGCCTTGAGATGAAGTGTTGTGAATTGGGGCTGTAGAAATAAACAGAATTTAATTTGAAAGACATTTGTCTCAAAGTCAAAGTAGTTAGCACTAGCACATTGTTCCATAAATAAATATTGATAGTGAAATAGGAACAGATGTAACAGGCAAAGTGGTTAGCTTGTTAGTAACAGGGGCCAGTTTACGCCTCACACAACCATTTCCTGGACCTTCATCTTTCTTACAGATGGGTGTTCCAGGTTTGGGGTTTCCCAGAAACTTCTTGACTTTCTTGAAATTCAGTCTCCCAGTGGGATTTTAGTTGCAGTTGGTTAATTTTCAATCTAAAACTCAAAAGTAAAGTTCTCTGACTACAGCCGTCCTCTGTGCATTTCAGTCACATTTTTGACCTGTTGCCAACTTCTAAGACGTTTTACCAAACGCTTTATTTATTTTTCAATGGAACAACCCTGCTTGTGTATACAAGTCATAAAAAGCTGAAAAGAACAATGGGTTCTCTTTTTTAAATTGATGTTTCCACCCTTAAGAATATTAAAGAATGATCTAATGAAACCGCTTCTTCTTTCTTTTTCCTTCTTATTTACTGTGTTTGTTAAAAATGTGTTTGTTACATGTGCATAAAACTCCACAATCATGATAGAAATAAAAAAAGGACAAATTCATTCCCAGTTCCAAACCTTTTTTTTTATTTATTTATATCTTCTGGATTCACGTAGGAAGCAAATGAAGAATATTTCACATGTAAACAAGTTGTGTAAGGTCACTTGAATGTTAAAATGTTAGCAGAAAGAGATGTTCCCCCACTGAGAGTCTTCTTTAACAATAAACCAGCTTGATGGTATTTAGCAGATCGTTTTTGTAAAGCTCAGCATGCAGAAGAACTTTCCCAGCAGCCTCCTTTTAACCAGCCAAACTATTCAATATGGGTCAGGGAGAAAATGGGAGTTTCAGAGCCTTTTCTTCATTTTTAGGGGTGCATTTTTTTTTTTGAAATAACAGAACCCTCAATAATACATGTTAATAACTTGACTTATAGATATCGTGTGGTTTTGGCACTTTTTGTGTAGTTTAAAAGGCAGTTACCAGCATACAAAATGAGACGGTTGATCTGAAACTGTCAAAAAAAATCTTTAAGGGAGGAAGTAGAAAACTTAATTAATGCCATCGACTGCTAACCTCCTGCATCTTAATTAACCATTTAACAATTAATTAATCTGTGCAACTTCTTCCATTCAGAATTGATTTCTGCAGTGTAATTAGACACTAATTCAATAACTGCAGGACCCAGGAAGAATAAAGATGTGCTATAGATTTTCTAACGCATAAATGTAGCTG